TAGTGGTTGTGGTTGTGGCGCTGGTGTTGGGGTGGTGTGTTTGATGGTGGTGGTTGGTTGGTCAGGGGTGGTGGGTTTATGGGTGGTGGTTTGTGGGTGATGGTGAGTTGTGGTGGTGGTGGTGGTTGTCGGTGTGTGGTGGTGGTTGGTGGTGGTGGGTTGTGGTGGTGGCGGTGGTTTGTGGGGGTGGTGGTGGTGCTGGTGGTGGCGGTGGTGGTGGTGGTGGTGTGGTGGTTTGTGGTTGTGGCAGTGGGTTGTGCTGCTGGTAGTGGTGGTGGTTGTCGCGGTGGTGGTGGTGGTGTGGTAGATTGTGGTGGTGGTGGTAGTGGTGGTGGGTTTTTGTGGTGGTGGTGGTGGTGATGGTGATGGTGACTTGTGGTGGTGGTTGTGGTGGTGATGGTGGCTGTGGTGGTGGTGGTTGTATGGTGCTGTTGGTGGTGGTGGTGGTGGGTTGAGGCGGTGGTGGTGGTGGTAGTGGTGGTGGTGGTGGTAGTGGTGGTAATCGTCGCTGCGTCCCCGCCGTCGCCGGCGCCAGCGCCAGCGCTGCTGGCCGCCGCCAGCGCCAGCGCCGGCGCGAGGGGGGGAGATTTGAACCCCCCCCCGCCCCACGGCGCCAGGGGGGGGTGAACCCCCTCCCCCTGGGCTGCCTCTGGTCATCGTCGCTGCGTCCCCGCCGTGGGCGCTGCTGGCGGCCGCCAGCGCCGGCGCCGGCGCCGGCGCCGAGGGGGGGGTTCGGGAGGGCGGGGGTTTGGGGGGGAGAGGGAGTTCCCTGGTTTTGATCGACGGCGCCCGAATGGTGGGGGGGGGTGCCCACCCCCCGGTTCGAAACGCGCCGCCGAATGTTCCCAAGACAAGTGCCCGTGAAACGCGTTCTCTCGTATGTTGTATGTATGTGTGTATGTATCAGACCAGCCACAACTGGGGGAGCTGTGGTCCTTACCCCCCTGGGGGACCCATCGATTTCGACACCCCTCTCGAGAGATCGCCGATGCGATGGGTTCCCCCAGGGGGGTAAGGACCACAGCTCCCCCAGTTATGGGTGGTCCGTGTATGTATGTATGTATGTATGTATGTATGTATGTATGTATGTATGTATGTGTGCATGTGTGTATGTTTGTATGTATGTTTGCATGTTTGTGTGTTTGTATGTTTGTATGTGTATGTATACACACTTGCGTGTGCGTGTTTGTACGGTTTTCATTGAGCATATATATATACATATATACAAGACTGCAGTGGCGTCTCGCGCCATGCACTTTGGTGCTTGAAGTTTGAAGTTTGGCATGCAGCCGGAATGGCAGGAAAGCCAAGCCTGTTCCGGCATCGCCGTTATAACATGTTATTCGTTATCCTTCCTCCGTGCTTATTTTCTTTCCTCACACTGCGCATTCTCCCCATGCTCTTCATCTGTTTTTGCGGAGGTTTCTCCTTGGAGAGCCTCTGGGGACCTCACAATTTGTGCTCATGTTTTCTTAAGGCCTTCTGGAGGCCCTAAGGAAGCCCAGCGATCGCGCGGGTTCCGCGAACTCTGTTTTTCTCTCTTGCTGCCGCCCCAAGGGGTCTGCGGTGCGGCGTAAGCCAATGAATCCTTGGAAAAGCAAGGTGTTTGGTCTAATCGCCTTGTCGCTTCCGATTAGCTCTCGACGCGTCCAGACAGCTCCCAGACGTCTCCAAATGAGTCCCCAGGCGAGCCCCAAAGAGGCCCAAGGCTGGCGCAACAGGGCCCATGGCGCAACTCGGCCTGGAGAGTGGGGCCCAAGAATGGGCAAATGTAGGAAAATCATTGGAAAAGCGAAGTTTTTTGTCTTCGCGCCTTGTCGCTTCCGATTGGCTCTTGAGGCGTCGAGACAGCTCCAAGACGTCTCCAACTGAGTCCCCTGACGAGCCCCAAAGAGGTCCAAGGCTGTCTCAACAGGGCCGGAGAGTGGGAAAAGCAAACAAAACGCAGTATAAAAGCAATGCTTGCGGCCGTCTCGCTTTTTCACTTCTGGCTGACTCGGGGGGCGTTCAGACGACCCCAGCACGGCCACAGGGAGGCGCAAGACAGGCCCGAGGATTCGAAAGTCTTTTGGGGGAGGGCGGGGGGGGGCGCTCCCCGGCACTTTTGGGCCCAGAGAGGGGGGCCCAGAGATGGACAAATGTAGGAACATCATCGGGAAACCAAAGTGTTTGGTTTTCTCGCCTTGTCGCTCCCGGTTGTCTCTTGAGGCGTCCAGATGCCTCCAAGACGGCTCCAGATGAGGCCCCAGAATCCCCAAAGAGGCCCAAGGCTGGCGCAACAGGGCCCGGAGAGTGGGGAAAACAGAGAAAACGCAGTAAAAAACAATGTTATCAGCCTTCTCGCTTGTGCACTATCGCTTGACTCGGGGGGCGTCAAGACGACCCCAGGATGGCCACAGCAAGGCGCAAGACAGGCCTGAGGAGGCGAAATTCTTTTGGGGGGGCGCTGGGGTGTGGGCTCCCCAGCCTTATAAACAATATATATATATATATATATATATATATATATAATATTTATAATACCTACATTACACACACCTATACGACCACCCTGCGGGTGATAAGGAGGTTGGGGGGGGGAGGGGGGCCAGCAATGGGGCAGCAATCGATCACACTATCGATCTCATTCTATCGATCTCACTATCGATCCCACTCAATCGGTCTCACTATCGATCTCTCTCTCTCTCTCTCGATCTCACAAGCGATGTCGTTATCGGTCTCACGATCGATCTCACCATCGATCTCACCATCGATCTCACTATCGATCTCTCTATCGATCTCACCAGCGATGTCGTTATCGGTCTCACGATCGATGGGACCATCGATCCCACTATCGATCTCACTCGATCGATCTCACTATCGATCTCACTCGATCGATTCCACTGTCGATCTCACTCTGGATCTCGCTATCCATCCCACTAACGATCTCCCTATCGATATCACTCGATCTCACAATCGATATCACTATTCATCTGACTATCGATCTCACTATCGATGTCTCAATATAGATCTCACTATCGATCTCACGATCGGTCTCATTATCGATCTCACTAATTATCGATCTCACTATCGATCTCACTGTCGACCTCATCACGGGACACCACGGGACAACGACGAGAAATTGGCGGGACACCAGCGGGACACCGCCGGGACACCGCGCGCCACTGGTTGCCGGGCGGGGAACCTGTTGGTCTGGCCGCGGCCCAGCCACGACGGGACACAGGCGGGACACCAGCGGGACACCAGCGGGACACTGGCGGGACACCGCGCGCCACTGGTTGCCGGGCGGAGAACCTTGGGGTCCAGCCGCGGCCCAGCCACAGGAGAATTTCCTTTCGCCCGCCCACGCAGCTTCGCCTCGCCTGCACGCACGGCACGCACGAACACGAAACCAAAATCGATTTCCCGGTGGGGGGCTCTCCGTTCAACTGATATCACCCCCAACCTCCGATATATACATATATACACATAAATAAGTGTGTGTGTATATATATATATATATGTTATTACCCGGGACCCCCCGCCCCTCGAAGTCGGACCCCCCGAATCCCGGGCCCCGGGCCCAGGACCCACTAAACCCCTCCCCCGATCCGTGGCCCCGGGGACCCCCTGGACGCCCTTGCAGGAGGACCCCCAGGCGTTTCAAAGCTCCTGAAAACCTTTGCTGGGCCTGGGCGATGGACCCAGATCGGTCAGGAAGGCGTCCGAACGCCCCCTGAAGGTGCCAAGAGGCCCCAGACACCCACGAGACGCCAGAAGACGACCAAAAGAAGGCCCCCAAGAGGCTTCCAAAACGCAGGAAAATTCAATTTCCCCACAGTTTTTGCATGATTTTGTGAATGCCCTGCTCTGCGGTCTTCTGGGCGTCCGAGACCGCCTGGGAGACTCGAAAATCGCCCCAAAACCCATCCGAAAGGGCTTCCAGGCAGTCCTAGAGAGCCCCAAGACGGCACAACAGGGTTCCAAGATGGCCTGAGAGAGGCCCGTGGCGGCCCAAGACTGCCCCAAGACGCCCACCGAAGCATCCCAAATCGTGACCCGGTCGTTCAGGGAGATCGCGGTTGGAGGCAGGGTGGCCCGAGGCTCCCCGCCGAGGTTCCCAGAAGACGCCCAGGAGGCCTCCAGAAGGCCTTAAGGAAGCCTAGAAAACTTCCGTGAGGCCCCGATAGGCTCTCTAAGGAGGAGCCTCCACAAAAAGAGCTGAGGAGGATGGGGAAGAATTCGCAGCGTAGGGCGAGAATGAGGAAAAAACACATGGAGAATGGTAATCGAAATATTTTACAGCGGCGATGCTGGAAAAGGGCAACACCAAATTGTTTGTTTTAGCTTCTTGCCCTTCTGCCTGCATGCCAAACTTCAAAACCAGGGTGCATGGCGCGAAGCGCCACTGCAGCCTGGTATATGTATATATCTATGCATGTAGGTATGCATGCACGCATACAGATATGTTTGTATGTATGTGTGTGTATGTATGTATGTATGTATGTATGTATGTATGTATGCATGCATGCATGCATGCATGCATGTATGTAGGTAGGTAGGTAGGTAGGTAGGTAGGTAGGTAGGTAGGTAGGTATGTATGTATGTATGTATGTCATGTACGTATGTGTGTATGTAGGTAGGTAGGTATTTATGTTTGTCATGTATGCATGTCGGTATGATGTATGTTTGTGCAAACATATGTGTATACATATATACATTCACGGAGGTACTTCGTCTGGTGATCATTCTTACGGGAAACTAAATCTTGTCACGAAGTGGCCCACCCTGGTTGCCGCCGCTTGCTTCGGGAAAGTTGTTCGCAGTTCAACACTTGAATGTCTTCTTGAAACCAGTCCTGGTCAACGTTGCGTGGGGAAGAGCGCATTCCGGGAAGTTTGAAGATAACAAATTACCGTTTGACATTCTCTTTGGAGCCCCACCCCATTCTCTTGGGAATGAGGATTGACATTAAGCATTAACCCATTTTTATATGCTTGCTCTCTTTCACGTTATTCAAGGTCGCGGCTAGAGAAGATCAGGACACGCCAGGACACCGCTGCGAGTTGCTCGCTCGGGCTGTGCTCTCGCAGGGGTCACCGAGCGTCGAGCTAGATGTGTGGAGCACATTCGTACCTGGGAGTTCGGCGGCAGAGAAAGGTTGCAGAGTTGTTTGTGCAGATTGCAGTGTCGCTCGGCAGGAGGACCAGGCATGGACGCAAAGCGCAGAAGGACAGACTGAATCAGAGTAACTAGTTCTGATGCGGCATGGGATAGCTATTTTTTGGGGTAGGCGATTCGGGCTTCGAGCATTAGTATTCCACTTTCGCGATCGTGCGACTCGAGGCCGCCCACTAAGAGCTTTTCGAGCGCCGCAACATCTTGGCGGCTGCGGTGGATTCCTGGGCAGCCAGGGCAGGGTCTTTCTGTTGGAGTAAATGCTCCCTCAAATGCGTTGAGCACGGCGCAATGCACTGAAGAAGGTCAGAATACCCTCGCTGGAGAGCCCCTCAGAAAGCCTGCCCATGGACGCTCCAAGAAGGGGGGGGGGGTCGGCCCAGACAACATAATGAGGCAGCAGGATGAAGAGGAGAAGGAAAATCCTGTGAAGGAGGAATACTTAAGGAACCATGGGGAGGATGAGAAGGATGCGAAGGGATGATGGGCGAGGCGAAGGAAGAGGAGAGTTGCCGTGATTCCAACTATGCGCATCGAGCACGACACGAACACATGAAGCATCAGTGAAAAATCAGACATAACGCAAGGAACCACCATACGCAATCAATCATATTAATCGTGTTGTGTGAAGACCTGCGCGCCCCCGTCCTCCTCATCCATAACGCTGCGGAACCCATCTCCTTGTAATTCGGCGGTGGCCTTCGGCCCATCCCTCTGCCGTGCCTGGGTCGCGGGCCAAGGGCGCAGCAGGAGACGATTGAAGGCCACACCACGCATTCCCACCCGCACGACAGCGGAGACTCGCAACCGAAAGTCTAACGCTTTTTCGTCGGCGGCGAGGCAGAGAAGCTGCTCCAGCGGGTGGCGATTCGGGGCGACCGAAAGGAGAATCGGTCGGCGTGCAAGAGGGGGTAAAGGGACAAGGGCGGCCGCGCGGGAACCAGAGGAGGAGGAGGAGGAGGAGGAGGAGGAGGAGGAGGAGGGAGGAGGAGGAGGAGGAGGGAGAGAGAGGAGGGGAGGAGGGAGGAGGGAGAGGGAGGAGGGAGGGGGAGGGGAGGGGGGAGGTGGGGAGGAGGGAGGAGGGAGGAGGGAGGAGAGAGCAGAGAGGAGAGAGGGAGAGCCGCTCGGACGTGGGAGACTTCCGCGCCGCCGAAAGCCAAAAACGCACGCGAAGCGAGGCAGGCCGCCCCCCCGTCGGCGCTCCTCCGAGAGCCGCCGAAAGGCCCCCCGCGCGGGCCGGCCGCCCCCAACGGGCGATCGGGCGGCGCAGAAGGCCGGCCCCGGGCCGCCGCAGGAGATGCTCGGGAAGCTGTCGGACGACAGCAAGGTCGCGCTGGCGGAGCAGCTGAAGGGCGAGGCGACGGACCTAATACATCCTCCTCCTCCTCCTCCTCCTCCTCCTCCTCCGCCTCCTGCAGCAATCAGGTTTATACGTGGCGTTGAAATCCCGAGAACAATGTTTTGGCATGCTTCAGGATCTTCAAACGGTTGTCTTCCAACGAGGCAGTTCCCTCAATGGAAATGGACCGTTGTGGGGGCCTGTGAAGAGGAAGCTTGGAGGGAGGGTTAATTCCAATATCGTTGATGACTCTTGGATTTACAGTCCTCCTCCTCCTCCTCCCTCCCTCACCTCCTCCTCCTCCTCCTCCTCCTCCTCCTCCTCCTCCTCCTCCTCCTCCTCCTCCTCCTCCCTCCACTCCGCGATTGTACCTGGTGCCTCACTGGCACAATATCCTTCCGTTCTGGGTGAGCTCCTGGAGGAGCCCATGGGCAAGGATGCCGCCAAGGGCTACCTTTCTTGCTCAAGCTGCCGATACCGCTGGAACTGGAAGTCGCGAGAACATTGTTTCTCCTGTGGCAATGCGCTGGTCCCCTCGCCGCCGCTGCCGTGGCGCCAGGCCAAGGGGGTTTGGTGGCCTGGAGGTGAGGATGGTGGCCAACATGGCCCGCGCACCCGCCAAGGGACCTGGGCACCCAGCCGCCTTGAGGCACCGACGGCCTCGACGCCACCACAGCGTGGGACGGCCCCGCAACCGACAGTGGCTGAGATCCTCAAGCAGCTCCAGCAGCATGTCAAGGCGGACGCAGGTGAGCAGGAGCTGCAGGCCTTGGTCAGGGTGGTGGCTCCGCCCGCGCCTGCGCAGCCAGCCCGCCAGCCGCTGTTGGAGGAGACCATCAGTGCGAAGGGAGTGGCGTGCAGGAGGGCGGAGAAGGCTTTGGAGTACGCGGTCCACCAGGAGGATGAAGCGCGGCGCTGGCTGGCGGAGTGCAGCCAGAGGACCCAGGAGGCGGCAGTATGGGCAGTGCAGGCCAAGACTGCCTGGCAAGAGGAGCTCAAGGCCGAGCTGCAGAAGGCCCGCGGCTCGACGCCTGGTGTGGGGCCTCCGCCCGGCGCGGTGCATATGCCGACGGGCTCCCAGATCAACCTGTCGCAGCTGCTGGGGGAAGAGAGTGGCTTCGAAGGCGTGGAGATCGTGGACGGCGAGGCCGTCGACCTCAGTGAGCTCGATATTGAGGATGAGGACAAGCAGCGGTGGCTTGCCCTCAAAAGCAACATGGCGGCGGAGATCCAGAAGGCAATTGTGGCCGCCATCGGGCCCATCGCCGACAACATTCAGCGGCTCAGAGCGGAAGCCAGAGACATGCGGAACCGCTTGTCGGCCAAGCGTGCCCGCCAGTCCGACCGTGGCGATGGCACCAGTGCCGCCGCCGTCGCCGCCCAGCTTGGAACGCCACCCGCAGCGGCGCCTGGGGCTCCTCCTGCGGCTGGTGCTGCCGCTTCTGGTGCTGAGCATGCAGTGCCTGGGTCGGCGGCCACGACACCCACGGGGGGAGCCGACACTCCCAGCACCCAGGAGCTGCAAGCTGCTGTCGACGCGGCCAGAGCCAAGCTGGCCGAGGGCAGTGGGTCGGGCCTTCAGGGCTCAGCAGCGGTCAGGCAGGTGGCGCGCGGATTTTTCGGGGCTGGCGGCCCCTGGGGAGCCCGTGGAAGGGCAGACCCTAAAGGCAGGCAGCGGGTCCTGGATCGAGGCCGCAGACGTGCGGGTGGTCGATGCCTTCGATCGGATCCAGCCTCCACCCTGGGCTGCAGAGGTGCAGGTGGTCGAAGCCCCAAGCTGGAGCGGCCTTGCCCCCTCACCGCATGCGAGGCGGTGGCGCGCTGGTTTTTCGGGGCTGGCGGTCCCTGGGGGGCCCGTGGGAGGGCAGACCCTAAAGGCAGGCAGCGGGTCTTTGATCGATGCCGCAGACGTGCGGGTGGTCGATGCCTTCGATCGGATCCAGCCTCCACCTTGGGCTGCAGACGTGCAGGTGGTCGAAGCCCCAAGCTGGAGCGGCCTTGCCCCCTCACCGCATGCGAGGCGGTGGCGCGCTGTTTTTTTCGGGGCTCGCGGTCCCTGGGGGGCCCGTTGTAGGGCAGACCCTAAAGGCAGGCAGCGGGTCATGGATCGGAGCCGCAGGCGAACAAGTGGTCGATGCCTTTGAGCAGACTCAGCCTCCACCCTGGGCTGCAGACGGGCAGGCGGTCGATGCCCCAGCGTGGAGCGGCCTTGCCCCCCCGCAGCAGCGGAGGCGGCGGCGCGCAGGAGGTTCGGGGCTGGTGGCCCCTGGGGAGCCCGCTGGAGGGCATACCCTAAGGGACGGCAGCGGGTCTTGGATCGATGCCGCAGACGTGCGGGTGGTCGAAGCATCGCCCCCGTGACTCATCCCTCAACCCCCCAACCCCCCGGCCGGATTTCTTTTCTTCTTTCCGCGGGGGGTCAACCTTCGCGGCGACCCGGTAAACCCGGGACCCCTGGCGGCGCATGGATTTCTTTCTTTCTTCCCCGCGCGCGTTGCCGTTGGAACCCCTGAACCCTTCCGACTACCGTACAACTCGTACTTCCAATATATTGCGTTTCCAATGTACTGGGTTCCCAATATATAAGCCCGAACCCGAACCCAAACCTCACCGGCTGTAATTCAGTTGTTCCCGTACTAATACAAATCCCTAGTGCAACCGCGATTAAGGTGTTGTTGCATTGCACTTACAGTCTCGGCTCTCACGCTTTTCTTCCTCTGGTTGCGCTTGGGGGGGTGGGACCCCTCGCGCGGGCACCCCCGCGGCTGGGAGTTCATTCCTCTTCCGGAATTTGAGGGGGGGGTAACCCCCGTGCTCGAACCCCATCGCCAGGGTTTTTTTCTTTCCTCCGCGGAAACCGGACCCCCTGGGTTCTTCGGCGCGCCCCATTTTTTTTTTCTTTCCGGTTGGGCCTCCATGGGTCTTAGGTTGGAGTCACCCGGGTAATGTCGAAGCCTTCGATCAGACCCAGCCTCCTTCCTGGGCTGCAGACGCGCAGATGGTCGATGCCCCAGGTCGGAGCGGCCCTCCACCCACATCTCAGAGATGGGATTTCCAGCTGGTCAGCGACAACAGCAAGTCGTTGTCTCCGGCTCAGAGTCACATGGAATGTGCTTGGAACGAGAAAGATATTGTGTACGGTGCCTTATTTTTTCAAGAGCGCAGGCTGGAACTGGAACAGATTAAAGTTGCTCGCAGTTGGTTTCGCAATGCTGGATACATGTCATGGGTCGCGGAGGCGGCGCGAACGGGAGCAGGGCGCCGAGAGACGTCTGGAAGGACGGCCATAGTATGTAAGGCACATGTTGGCAGCAACGGCCACGTGCAGAGCTGCTGGTCGGCGAGGCGCTGCGTGGTCAAGGTCATGGTGCACCATTCCTTCCCGATCCTTTTTGTGCCAGTGTACGGCCACGCCGCGCTTGGGCTCTCAGGCGCCATTTTCACGTTTTTAGAGGAGCTCAGTGAAGTGGTGGCCTCGGCGGGCGGCCAGTTTGCTCCAGGTGGAGACTGGAACGTTAATGCGGAGCAGCTGATTGCATCCCAATGGGCAGATCACCTTGGGGCGACAGTGGCCAGGCCCCCATTAGCGACCTGCCGCAGTAAGTGTTACGACCTTTTTGTTGTTAGCCGCTGTCCAGAATCTCATGTTAAAGAGTGAAGTGAGCAGCCTGACACGCCAGTTGGGCCGCATGCTGCAGTTGCGCTCCAACTCAAGCAGGTGGCTGGACAGGCCAAAGCTTGGCAGCGCGTGGTGCCTCGCAGTTTCCCGCTACCCAGGAATGAAGAGGAGAAGGCCCGCATGCAGCGGGGCCCCAGCCACCAGCCGCCCCTATTTGATTGGGCTTCGCTCTTGCCCCGCGCAACGATGGAGCAGTGTTTCGACGCTGCGGAGTTGGCTCTCGGCCGCCTTCATGGGCTAGATGACAAGCGGCTTTTTGGCCGAGCCAAGGGTTGCCAGGTTCAGGTAGTGCCGCTTGAAGCAGCGTGGAGTCAGGAGCTGCACAGGCGCCCCCTGCCTGGGACCCAACGCTGGTTGCCTTTGAGGCGTTTGACCTTGCAAATTCTAAAGGTGGCGACAGGCGGCCAACGGCGGCGCCTGTTAGATGCGGCCAGGCCACTGCAGGAGCTGCTGGAGGAGGTTGAAAAACCTCGGCTCGCGCGACTGACGGTGGCTGAACTTTTTCAGGGCCTAGAGGGCCCCAGTCGCGCGGACTTTGGGAATGCCACTCAGTGCGTTGTTGGCAGTAGAGTGCAGCAGGAGACAGTTGAAGGCCGAACGAGATGGTTAACGTTGGCTCAGTCGGTGGTCGGTCGCGGTGGTCGGGCGGCTCACAAGTGCCCGAAAGGCCCCGCTCAGCCCCCTTTGCCAGTCCTGGTTGACGAAGATTTCATTGAGCAAGTAGGAGGTCCCAGGCCGCTTGTAGTGCAGGCGGCACTTGATCGCAGTTTGCGCGTTTGGGAGTTCAAGGTTGAAGGACTAGCGGCGTCTCTCTGGAAAGAAGCTTTCCAGGAAGGAACGCCCGTTCAGGTGAGTTTCTATAAGGCGGCGGCCCACACGTCGATGACCGATGTGCGCGAAGGGCGTATCAGCCACTTTGAGAGGGAGGGCAGTGCTGAACCTGATCGACTTACTAAGTTTGGTGCGGAGCTATGTGGATGCCCGTCCAATGTTGTCCTGATGTCCAAAGGCATGCTCCATGTCGCACGCCTGCTCCTTCTGTTCATCAGTAGGGCTCAAGGCCAATATGTGCAGGAAGGCAGGTGGGGCTATGTCGGAGCCCTGGGGCTCACAGAGATCTCCCTGGAGGGGAGATCCGACTTTGAGGAGGCCCTTGAGGCGGTGAGGAGGCAGGAGGAGGGAGGTGCCGAGGGTGCTACTGCTCCTGCTCCTCCTCCCGAATCTCCTCAACAATCCTCGGGACCTCCCTCTGAGCCCTTGGTGCCCGAGCTGCTGGCGATGGCAGAGGATGCCCGCCAGGCCCCTGCTTTCATCGGAGGGCATGTGTTGCTGCAATTCGTGGTTGAAGATAACCAGCCTCCCATCCTTTTTTGTTCGACCTGCGGGGGGTACGCCACGGGCTTGGGTGCGAGAGCTGGTGGTGGGGGGGGGTCTCGGTGTCCAAGAAGGCCCAGATGGGAGCTGGAAGGGTGGCCAGAGCCACTTCGGACCATCCTGCACGTGCAGGTTTGTGCATGGCTGATGTCCTACAAGCGTTCGGACCTAATGAGTTCGAAGCCGCTGAGTTGGGACTGAGGCGACGTGAACGAGGCCCAGACAATGATCTGGAGCACGAAGAACTGGGCGGTTAGATACCCAGGGGGGGCCCTGTCGCTGGCCCCTGGCAGGTCTTCGGCCTTCCTGCCAGGGTGACAAAAAGTTCCCCTCTGATGGGCCCCCCTGGGTTTTTGGACCGTCGGACTTTTCCCCCCCCCTTTCCCTTCAGTGGCGTGCGATCCAGCTGAAGGGCGAGGCGACGGGCCGCCCCCCGTGCCGCCCCTTCTCTCCAAGAAAGAAGAGGCGTCCCTACCGATACCCTTCGCCCGTTTTCCCCCTTTTCGGCCTCCTGGGAAGGCTCTCGTCGCCACCGCTGGATTCGCTTCGAAATTCTGGTCAGAGCGCACCCCGTGCCGCCCCTTCTCCAAACTAAGGACAATACACCCATACCGCTACCCTTCGCCCGTTTTCCCATTTTTCGGCCTCCTGGGAGGCCCTCGTCGCCACCGCTGGATTTGCTTCGAAATTCTGGTCAAGGTACTTCTATACCGCTACCGTTCGCCCGCTTTCCTTTTTTTCGGCTTTCTGGGAGGCCTTCGTCGCCACCGCCAGATTCGCTTCGAAACTCTGGTCAGATCGCACCCCGGGAGAGGTCTGGGGAGAGGCGGTATCGGTACCTTGTGATTTCCCCATTCTCATGTTGTCTTGGCATCGCTCGGACGTGTGAGCTTTCTTTTCTCGGCGAGGGCCCTCGAGGCGCACCTTGGAGATCCTCGTGCCCCCCAAAAAAGGAACGCACGATGCCGAAGACAGTGTACGGGGAAGGGACGTCCGAGCGGTGGCAGGGTCTCGCGCGAGGCGTGGTCTCCTTGCTCGCCGCGCCCCCTCCGCCTCCCGCCGTGGCTGCTCTCTGGTGCTCCGCTTCGCCTCGGGAAAGCGCCCCTCCGTCGCTCGAACGCCGCCGGAGTCGAGCAGCCGCAGGCCCAGAAGGTTGCGCAGAGGGTCCCTGGCCCAAGGTGCCCCCAGGATTCCTGGGGAGGCCCAGCTGGCCCTCCAGCCCAGAGAATATCGTGAGGCGGGAGGAGACGGAAGAGCTGGTGATGGAGGAGGAATGTCAGAACAGTGGGGAGGATGAGAAGGATGTGAAGGGGCGAAGGGTTGAGGAGGAGGAGGAGGAGGAGGCTAATTTGAGAACAGTGGGGAGGCCCAGGTGGCCCTCCAGAGCACCCCTCACGAGGCCTGGATGGGCCGCAGGGGCTCCAGGATGGCGCCTGGGGCTGGGACCACTTCTGGCACCCCCCCGTCGGGAGCCTAGAGACGGGAGTCAATGCAAACGGGGGTCAGCCAGAGGGCCGGATCTTGCAGGATCCTGCAGAATCTTGCTGGATCCTTCGGACTGATCCAGGTTTGGGTGCAAGACCTTACAGGATTCTGCAAGGCCTGACTGACCCGGGTCTGGATTGATCCGCGTCATCACCGCCCACTAGACCACCCCGACCCAATCCGAAGGCCCCAATTTGCCATCGATTTCTAGTGGGGGGGGGGTCGGGGAGCATTGATAAACCACATTTTGAACCCGTACCCTCCCCCAACCCGAAATTCGGGTCTTCGGGTTGGGTTGGGGTGGTCTGGTAGGTACTCAGGTCAGAAGATCCCTGACCCCGACCTTCTGGGTGGTCAGAGCTACGATGACGGTCGAGCCTCGGCCTCTCCCTGCTTTCCGCGCCGGTCGGACCTCGATCCACGTGGCCTGCAGCGTCCGGATGGCAAGAAAGAGCCGGCACATGACGTAAACCGACTTCGGCGCGGGTGGCCAGCATATGGTTGCCAGCAAGTGCGGGACGAAGCCAGGCAACGGGAGTCGGGAAAGGGCGGGGCGCCCGTCCTTTCCCAGGAGGGACAAGCAGACACAGGCACACATACACGTCGATGCCCGTGAAAATGCTGGAGGAACCTGGAAGTGGCAGTGCAGGAATCCTGGGATGTGTGCCCCCTGGGCCCCTTCACCTGTCTTCTTTGAGACCAGCCGCGGCTTGCGGAGGCTCGAGGCGTCAGTCCTCCTCGCTCTCCTGCCTCTGCCCCTGGGGGTGCGCGGTGGGCAGGTCTCGCCTGGCAGGCCTCCCTTCGGAGGCACTGGAGGTTGGCGCCAACACCTGCTAAGTATCGGTAGCAAACATCCGCCGAGGGGAGATGATCCCGATCTCGGTGATGGTGGTGACCACGCGATTTCTTCGCGGCCGAAAGATCACCACCGACACCAAATCTGGGGTCCGTCCTCCCTGGCGGAGGCCAGCCCCCGTGTTGGTGTTACTGCCCGTGCCCAAGCCTCCAATCACTGCCACCACTGTGGTGCTGACTGTCCTCGCCCCCGCCCGCTCTTGCGCCAGGGTCGCATGCGGGTGCTGCTGTTGCCCGCCGGAGGGGGCGACCACAGCTCTACTGAGCTGAGAGCGCCCCTCGACGCGGGCACCAGGCAGCTGAAGCCTGTCAGAAGCACCGGTCTCCCCTGTGAGAGGCCCCCGATGCCGAGTTGGGCGGCAGATGCCGAGGAGGCAGGACCGCCGGCGTTTGGTTGTGTCCCGGCATGGCCCGTCGGCGAGGTCGTGGGTGTGCCAGGCGCTTGCACGGCGCATCGGCGGACAAAGCCGCACTGAGCTTCGCCGCAAAGCGTCAACAAACGTGTAAAGGGTATACTGCCAGCAGGAGGGGGAGGCAGGGAGAGGACAGAGCGAGCGAGAGGGAGAGGCAGAGGGTCAAAGTATCTCTCCTCCGCATGGCCTGCCGGCGAGGGCCAGGGCCAGACTATCGGTCCCTTCGGCTCCTCCGCCTCCGCCCTCCGCTCCCCCGAGCCTCGCTTCTCCGCTGCGCCCCGCCCCGCCTCCCGCCCACACGCAGGCCAAGGCCAAGGAGTTCACCACGAACCTGATCACGCAGGGCCTCCTGATGCTCCTGGAGGACCTCCTTCGCCTCCCCCCTCGCCGAGCGCGTTCCACTCCTCGCGAGGTGCCAGCTCGCAAACGCCCGAAGCACACATGTTTGCCTCGGCGTGCTGGATCGCGAATCCCCCGCGGCGGATCCAGGTCATCTGCGAGCCTGCCTCCTCCGGGTGCTGTTGCCAGCGTCTGCTAGCTGCCCGCAACCGATCGTTGCTCCTCGCGCAGCCAGGACAAAAAGCTGTACTGGATGCTTGCTGATTTCTATTGCTGGGTCTCTGCGCAGAGGAGGGCGGACATATCGTCTCCCCCCTCCCGGAAACAGGCTTCTTCTGTTTTTTGTTGGTTGTCCATGGTTTTTTTTCTGATTTTTCTGTGCTCTGCTGCCCGCGCTTCTGCTGCCGTGCCTTGTGGGGCCGCTGGCCCCCCTCGACACGCCGCACCCGGAGTTTGGCTGGAGGCGCCGGCCCGTGTCGGGCCAGCCTGCGCGAGGGGTATCGTCCGATGAAGGCTTGGCCAGGGGCGGAGACTAGGGCTGGACCCAAACGCTGTGTTGCTGGACTTTGGCTGTGTTTTGTTCTTCGTTTTGGCAGGGAGGTGAAACAGATAGAGCAACACGAAAAACAGCGAAAACAAAACGAAAAACAACGTTTAGGTCAAGCCCTGGCGGAGACTTTGCACCCTCGTATGTTCATCGAGGGCGGCAAAGAGAGGGGTGATGACTAGGGGGGGATATCATGGCGTGGGCCATGATATCTCCCCAGATCTCGCGGCGCATCTTCTATGTCACTACGTCCCTGGCCCCCCCCTTGGGGCGCGCACATTCCGCCGGCCACGATTTGCGCCCCCCACTTGGCCGCCCCCGATATTCGCCTGGCACAGCTCGGTCATTTTTCTTGCTGGTGTTGACGTTCGAACGATATTCACCATCCTCCTCCTCCTCCTCCTCCTCCTCCTCCTCCTCCTCCTCTTCGGGGTCTCTCTTGGCCGCCCCCGAGTTCATCATATCTACCAGCTCGGGCGACGAAATCTATCCATATCCACTGCTCCCTGGCGGTGCCTATCCTGGGCCCAGGAGCTGTGCACACGCCAAGCCAGGAGGGCGTGGCGTATATACACCGCTGCTGGGTTCAGGATGGGCCTGGCCAGGGAGCAGTGGACGTGTACAGATTTTGTCGCCCTACCAGTGAGGTCGCACCTGATATTATTCCGTCCGACCGACCGCCCCCCCCCTCCAAAAAGTTTGCCAATCTCTGTTAGGAATCCCCCCCCGTCCTCGTCCTTCAGCATGCTTTCCAGGACGGTCTACAGAGGACTCCCAGTTGGTTCCAGATGCCTCCAATACAGCCCATTAGCGCGCCAAGAAGGCCCAATACACCTTCAAGAGAGCCCGAGAGGGCTTCATAAGGACCCCCAAGAAGGCTTCCATGAGAGACTTCTCTGAGGTTTTGCAGTTATTTCAACGTTCTCGCCTTTTCAGGCTGCCTACAGTCCAGAACGGCCCAAGAGGCCTTAAATATCAACCCAAGACTGCCACTAAGCGGCCCAAGAGCGCCCTGAGACGGCTCAAGAGAACCCCAAGGCGACCCAAGAGAGCTCCAGGAGGGCTTCAATTGGGTCCCAAGAGCCCTCACGATCATGTGCTGCCACTGGTGTTCCGACCAGTCAGGATTTCCGCGCCCCTGGATTTTTTTCGATTGCGTCAGAAGTTGTGCCCCCAGCGTCGTGTGTGCAGGACGAAGTTATGGTCCGGTGCCGGGAGTGCGACACCAAAATGGTCGAGGGTTGCCTGAAGGACGCGGAGGCAAAGTACGCGCAGGCGCCGCCCAGCCGCCAGTTGGAGGCCGCTGTAAGACTTGTTTGCGGCTGCGTCTGTGTGGGGGACTGCGTTCTGACTTCGGATGCCTTTTGCTCTGGCAGGTCGGAGCCACCTGTATCTAATCTGATACATGTGGAGCTATACTGTGATAGTTTTGGGAGCCCCATGGATGAATCCAGCTCGTTGGTTAGTCCAGCTGTCTGGCGCCAACGCCTCAGGGAGCGAAATCCGTCCATGGACCATGAACCACGTGAACCAACCGCACCCAAGATCTTCGGATAGTGGGACTTTCAGCAGCGTCCTCTGTTTCTTCAGGCTGGATGCCTGTAGCGATTTGAATCCACGTGGATCTGTCAGTTTCAACAAGCAAAGGCTGCAAAGGTACCTGTGGCGCACGGGAGAGGCTTTCAGGGTGGTGTGTTCAGGACAGTTTCCGCGGAAGCCACCCACGGGAGATAACCTTGAAGATGGGTGTGCCCCAGGAAATGCCAGACTCACGTGCAGATCGGCATCCAGCTTAGTGGATTTTTTGGGTTGGCCTAGTTCTCCTCTGCTGGTGAGATGGTCGCCAGATCTATCTGACGCATGGCTATGCCCCTGCTTGGTCTGGGCCGATGTCCCTAGGCGCCCCGCTTTCCTCGAGGGGGTCGCCGTCGAGGAGCTTGTGAGTGATGCAGTCAATTGGATATTCTGCCGCGGACGATGTGCCCGTCCTCGGCGACCACGCTCGACGATGCCTGCGGGGACGGAGGAGCGGGTGGGAGCTTGCAACCTGCACTGTTCATTGGCTTCTTTCGTGAGGTACTGGTGGAGTTCTATGGGCAGCACCTTAGTGGTTCTTGGAAGCGGCAGGGCCTTTTTGTTAACTTACCGTTTCCAAACATCCTGAACTTGTGGAAGAAAACGGTAAAACAATTGTTCGGTAACGCGGAAAACAAGCGACCATGGGATTGAAGCCAGAGCCAGCACCGAAACAACAAACGGCGACGGCACCATAACAAAAAACGGTGCCAGAAGTGGGAAACAACTACACAAAGAAAACGGAACAATTATCGAGTCGGGTGCGGTTACTCCATGCGGACTGTGCTATTGGGGCCTTCGGTGGAGCTCCGTATGGGGCCACGAAGCGTGAGAGGGATATGCCAAATCGGGTGCGGGTACGCCATGCGGACTGTGCCGTTGGGGCCTTCGGTGGAGCTCCTTGTGGGGCCACGAAACGCGTGAGGGATGCTCGACTCGGGTGCGGGTACGCTATGCGGACTGTGCTGCTGGGGCCATCGGTGGAGCTCCTCATGGGACCCCGAAGCGTGAGAGGGGTGTGCCGAATCGAGTGCTAGTACACCATGCGGACTGTGCCGCTGGGGCCTTCGGTGGAGCTCCGTATGGGGCCACGAAACGTGAGAGGGATGTGCCAAATCGGGTGCGGGTACGCCATGCGGACTGTGCCGCTGGGGCCTTCGGTGGAGCTCCCTGAGTCCACGAAACGTGAGAGGGATGTGCCAAATCGGGTGCGGATACGCCATGCGGACCGTGCCACTGTTTTTTTTCGGTGGAGCTCCTTATTAGGCCACGAAGCGTGTGAGGGGTATGCCGAGTCGGATGTGGGTACGCCATGCGGACTGTGCCGCTGGGGCCTTTGGTGGAGCTCCTTGTGAGGCCACGAAGCGTGTGAGGGGTGTGCCAAATCGGGTGCGGGTACGGCATGCGGACTGTGTTATTGAGGCCTTCGGTGGGGCTCCCTATGGGGCCGCGAAACGTTAGAGGGGTGTGCGACTCGGGGCGGGTACGCCATGCGGACTGTGCCGCTGGGGCCTTAGGTGGAGCTGCGTATGGGGCCACGAAACGAAACGCGTGAGGGGTGTGCCGAGTCAGATGCGAGTACGCCATGCGGACTGTGCCGCTGGGGCCCCCGGTGGAGCTCATTATGGGGCCACGAAACGTGTGCCGAAGTGAATATGCTGAGGGCAGAGGCAGGGATTGCAGGAGGGAGGATGGGGAGGAGGAGGTGGGAGACGCGGGGGGCTGTCTTTTCAAAACGAGGACCTCACACCACAGGATAGATGATAAAACTGTTAAGTCGTTTCTTTCCATGAACCACCAAGTGCAGCGCCCCACAGACCCACCTGCGTCGTTCATCTGAACCGCATCACCAGAGGTGCAGGCGACTCCGAGAGAGAATTGCGAACGCTTCGTATCTCCGCGCAAGCCCATCCAGAAGCGATCCCCACGCGAACTGCCTTGATCTTTGAGCCTCTCAAAGTTTATATGGCTCATGTTTTGGTGGTCTTGGGGAAATGTTTGAAGAGTTTGAGTCTGCCTTGAGGTCCTCTCGGGGGCTTTGCGGGCACTCTTAGGAACATATGTCTCGAATTGGGTTTGTCCTACTGTCTGCGTAATCTTGGAACCGTGCAGGTGGGTGAGGCCAGAATCTTCGTGCTCTCAGAATTCCGTCCCTACAAGCCTCGTCGATAATAAATTGAGACGCCTTTTGAAATCGAAGCACACGACAGTTCGGGCAGTTGTCAGAAAACGCGTTCTTCAATGCTGCAAAGGCACTGCCGGATTTCGGACACTCCTGCGTGTGGGCCAAACACTTCATACCAGCATTTAAGTAGCGCCGACCGCGCACCTCCTCTGGTGTCCAGAAACTGCCATGCGTGCCGTGCCCCAGGAGCCTGGAGCGTATAGAGACCGCGCTCAGAGACCATTCTTTGCGCACCCCCTCTGGTGTCCAGAAACTGCCATGCCTGCCGTGCCTTGTGAACCTGGAGCGTATAGAGACCGCGCTCAGAGACCACCCCCTGCGCACCCCCTCTTGGTGTCGAGAATATGCCATGCCTGCCTTGCCCTGGGAGCCTGGAGCGTATAGAGACCGCGCTCAGAGACCACCCCCTGCGCACCAGAGCCCTCTGGTGTCGAGAATATGGCGCGTATAGAGACCGCGGTGAGAGACCACACTCTGCGCACCCCAAGTGCCACGCTTGCTAGGCCCTGCGGCATTGGCGCGTATAGAGACCGCGGTGAGAGACCACCCTTTGCGCACCCCCTCTGGCGTCGAGAAAGTGCCACGCTTCCTAGGCCCTGCGACATTGGCGCATGTAGAGACCGTGGTGAGAGTCCACCCCCTGCGCCCCCCCTCTGACGTCGAGAAAGTGCCACGCCTGCTAGGCCCTGCGACATCGGCACGTATAGAGACCGCGGTGGGGGACCACCCCTTGCGCACCCTATATAGTGACGCCTGCCAGGCCCTGCGACCCTGAGACTGATAGAGACCACGGTGACGGACCACCCCTTGCGCACCCCGTTATGGTGTCGAGAACGTGCCACGCTTGCCACGCCTTGCGACCCTGAGACGGATAGAGGCCACGGTGGGGGACCACCCTTTGCGCACCTTTTGTAGTGTCGAGGAAGTGCCACGCGTTGCGACCCCGAAACGCACAGGGAGACCACCCCCAGCGCACCTCGTGTGGTGTCGAAGAAGTGCCACGTCTGCCACTGCGGTTCTGTAAGTGCGAGCGAGACGGAGAAGCAAACGGGTGAGGAGGAGAAGGAGAAACGTGGGTGCGACGCGGATGAGAAGAAAACCAGAATTCCTTGCCATTTGCGCCCAGAGGATTGGTCGGATCTTCGGAAGAGCACCGTTCAGGTTACCAGTTGGGTCATGTTGCTGCTCTGAGAGTATCGGAGGGTTTTTGCAACGGTCTGGGATGCTTCCTGGGCCGTCATGGACGCCCCTGCTTACATCGGTCGACGATGTATGAATCAAGCAGTTCGCATGCTTGTCAACAAGCTGTGGTTTGTGAATGACCCAGATGTCACAGTGGAAGCTTGTGAATACGAGGCGGCAGGCATGATGGTAATCCTCGAGATGTCCATACCATGTTCCGACCTCGGGGGGGTCGAACATACGAGAAGGCAATACTTATAGACATGCAGCGACGCATGTATGCTGTGCTGAGACCTTGGTGGGGCGATGCGAGGCCTCTGGGTGGCCGATCTCCTGAGGGCATGGGTGCGGTCTCGGGGGCCATCTTGGCATGTGGGCCCCGGTGGTCCTCTTGAGTTCCCTCTCCTTGGGGGGCCACCTTGGGGGCGCCTTCGCGGAGACTCCTGGGCCCCTCGAGGGCTGTCTGCGGGCTCTCTCGGCTGCCTTGGGGCTCCGTTGGGATGCTGTTTTGGGCGCCTTGTCGATTGCTCCGACGGAGGGACCCCGCATGAGAGTTTCCCCGAGCAGTGCCTGCACTCAGGGGTCCTTCTTTGGTATACGGAACTGGGCCCGAGTGTCGGTCTGGCGGCTCCGTGCCCTCCGTCGCCGCCTCGTCGCCGCCCGTCCTCTGGGCCTGGGCGTCGGACTGGCGGCTCCGTGTTTGCCGTCGCCGCCCCGTCGCCGCCTCGTCGCGCCCGTCGTTTGGGCTCGGGCGTCGGTCTGGCGGCTCCGTGCTCGCCGTCGCCGCCCCGTCGCCGCCTCGTCGCAGCCCGTCCTCTGGGCGTGGGTGTCGGTCTGGCGGCTCCGTGCTCGCCGTCGCCGCCCCGTCGCCACACAGATTGCACAACATCGATTGCACCACATAGGTTGCACCACATCTGTTGCACCACATAGATTCACAACACAGATAACACCACGCAGATTGCACCACCTATAGTGCACCACAAAGATTGCTCCACAAATCCGCCGACCCTGTCGGCCTGTCGGCGTGTGGAAGAGGCTTCGTTGTTTGCTGCTTCTTCCTCGTCGTTCCTTTGTCCCGTTTCCCTGCAGCGTCGTTGTTTTTTGCCACTTCTTTCTCCTCGTCGTCTCTGAATCGAAGGGAAGCCCCTTCCCTTTCTTCCCTTCCCCGCGCGAGGAAGGGGGGGTCCCGTTCCTTTTCCTCGTCGTCTCTGAATCAAAAGGAAGCCCCTTCCCTTTCTTCCCTTCCCCGCGCGGGGGGGGGGGGGGGGGGGTAGCGAGGGGGGGTAGCGAGGGGGGTCCTGGGTCAGATACGCCGCCCTCCTGGGGATCC